GTGTTGTCAACCCTTAGTGTTTAAGGTGTCTTGGTTTCAGTGCTTATTTCTCTACCTGCTGTTTGCTGTCCCGTGCCTTTGCTGATTGGTTATTTTAGTTATGTTCCACACCTTGTTATGCCCTGGTACAGTGGATATAAAAAGTGTACACACCCCTGTTAACATGTCAGGTTTTCGTGATGTAAAGAACTGAGACCACGATAAATCATTTCAAAACATTTCCCGCCTTTAATGTGACCTATAACCTGTACAATTCAACTGAAAAACAATACGTCTGGGTGAAAACTTTTAAAATAAGAAACATACAATAAGCTAGCTAAGTGTGCACACCCATAAACTAATATTTTGTTGAAGCATCTTTTGATTTAATTACAGCATTAAAGCTTTTTGGGGACACATCTGCCATCAATTAAAGTGACTCTGATTAACCACGAATAAAGTTCAGCTGTCCAGGTAGGATTTTCATGACATTTACTCAGTTGTATCCTACAGCAAAAGCCATATTTCACAGAGAGCATACAAAGCATCAAAAGGATCTCATTGTAGAAAAGTACAGCGAAGGCAGTCATCAAAGAGTGTCAATGTGTTTTATTATATCATCTGGTCCTTTCACGCAATCATACAGTTTAATGAAACACCAAAAGAATTATATATATATATATATATATGCTGTGCTCCATATACCACCAGACTTGTTTTTGAAATATTGTTTTTGCACTAATACATATATATATATATAGACACACACACATATACACACTACCTATATATAACACAGGGAGCAGGATTATAAAACACACAAACAGCAACATGAACACACAATGACTGAGTAAAGAACTGAGCAGACGCAGGCAGTTAAAGGCAACTGGGCTAACAATCGACCAATCACAGAGGGTGCAGGACAACGAGCAACGACTGGAAAAATTAAAAGGCACTGACCCTAGAAAACACAAATTACTAACTCAGAAGTCTACACTGGGAAAACAACAAACAAAAATAAACTAGACACAAGCCAGGCAAACTGAAAACAGAAAAGGAAAAATAACTAACAAACACTAGGAAAAACCAGAAAACCAATAAATTAAAAATAACACATGCGGTGAGCATGAGGCCAGCCTCAAACCCATAAGCAGAGGGATTACAGTCTGCATACCAGTCACGCATCCACTAAGCTGCACAGCAATCCAGGGAACAGTGACGCCACAGTAGGGAAGACTAGGAACAAAGACAGAGGGAGCAGTTTGGCCAGCAACACCTGCTGGCTGAACGGGGACTAAACACATAACAAAGGGAGGGACTACAATGACAGAGAGGGAAAAGTGGAGGCCAAGCATGGAGGGGTCACAGGATGAACGGGTACAGACCCTGACAAAATGTAAGTGATAGATTTTGTATTTTCAAAATCTATTTATTATAAAACTGCACAGCATGTGTTGCTGCCAGCACTCCCCCATAGGGAAAATAAATAAGCCTTTAACCTGGGCAAAAACTGCATTGTTTGTGCAGTACATCTTAATGAAAGACTTACCATTTCAGAGGGCATTAAACTGAAAAAATGTAGTGAAGTATCTTCAAATAATGTCTGAGAAATCAAACAAAACTCAGATTCCGAATTTAAGAGAACAAATATCGGAGTTAATGAACACATTTGTGTCTTCGATTTAGCAGCGCAGTCTGGAGGATTCTGTCGAAACGGCATCCCCTGTTTAACGAGGCGCGGATCCTGCGAATAAGAAGCTGGCGAATTAGTAGACAACTTCAGCCTTGTCAGTCACAGTATATAAAAACTTTGGTCGATAAGGTTAAGAGTCGACACTGCAGGTTCATTTACATACAAATTTAATATATTTTCTCTAAGAAAGCACCCTGGAATAGTACTAAGGAAGTAATCAAAGCACATTGTACATTCTTTTATAACAGTAACATAACTTATCTTTTGGCAATTGTGTCATTGCTCATCCCAAAATCAATGACATACGCACATGCTGGTGCATGCAGGCATTTAAAAGAACACAAACAATTAAAACGGTGTGATGCTACAATCTTGGGAAAGCGGGATCCTGCACCCGATCAGTGAAAATCAAATTTACGGTTAGATTATTTAATTTTTAGGCTCTAACCAGTTTGATTGTGAAGCTTTTCTGCAGTGGTATATTTACAAAGAACCGCATATTCTCTCATACCACAGTCAAGCAGTTTCTGCACAGAGGGAATAACCTCAAACCATCGATGTAACCCAGTCAAGTGTTCGATCGGGGCCTGGTAACCTCGCGCTTATGCCTCTTATGGGATTGTTATGGAAGCACGCCTAGAAAAGTAAACATGTTGTAAGGTATACCTCTCAAGTCTTTGCAAGACGCTAAGAGGCACCGTTACCAGCAAACCCAGCCCAGAATTCAATAGATTGTAATGTAACAGCAATTTCCTTTTTTTAACCGGTCCAGTCGTCGTCCCCAGATTCCCCACAAGAACCCACACAGAACATACTTGACTTTCCTTTATTCTTTACAAAATATACTGTTCATAAAAAATACCAGGTTTAGGTGAATGCAGGCAGAAATACGGGTATGCTATCTAACCCACGGAACACCAAGCCAGCAACTAGCGCCACCCACCATCACGCAGTATTGCACATCCCCAAAAGGTCTAAAGTACGGATAGGTTAGACTTTAACACACCTGATTATTATGCATAAATAATCACCACCCCGATTCAGTAACACAAGGCACAGCAAATCGTCACTATACTAGGCTTAAATGCTCAATACATAAAACATTGCCAATAAGCCACCCACTTTCCACGCTAAGCCATTGTAAATATACCTCCCTAATTTCCCCACTCTCACCTTTTACTCCTCCAAATATCGCCTACTGTAGACTTAGCCACTCCAAAATGGTCTGCAACAGCTCTGTGTGATTTTCTTTTTCGTATCTCTGTACCGATATCGAGTTTCTGGAGGAACATGACACTACGCCATGGATATTGCACAGTGTTACGCGCCGCCGTAAGTTAAGCTCCGCCCACAGCCTCGTCCTCGAGGCTCCAGCTTGCCCTCCATTCGACGTTCGCTCCGCCTCCACCTACAGACTCCGCCCACAGCCTCGTCCTCTGGCTCGCCTCCATTGCAAGTGCATAGGGAGTGACCCCCATTTTGTTTTGTGAGCTTTTAAGTAAGGTGTAGAATTTGTCGCTGTGTTTTTGTTTTCTCTACACTTCGGTAAATTAGCTTTGAGTTGCGTTCGGAAGATGGGTTTTGTTTATTGTTTTCTCTACAGTCACTCCTGAGTCCTTTTGCACCGGGTGTATTTTTTCTGTGTCCATGGCTTGTCAATAAAACCAGAAAAAAAAAAAAAATACTCCTTTGTCCACGTGTATTCCCTTGTCCATCGGACCCTGTCCTTCCCTTACTTCACGTCCCCTTTCAAACTGTTACACCCCAACCCTAGACTGGTGCTCGTAACAACAGCTGCTGGTTGTGTAAAATTAATTTGCCCACGAGCGTGCCTAGAGCTGCCCGGTACAGGGAGGTGCCCGTATATTGGAGGTCCGGATAAGGGAGGTTTGACTGTATTAGTGTGGTTTTTAAATTCTTTATAGAACTGTAGTTTTATTGCGTATACATTACCTGCAGTGGCATAAAACGCATCTTTAATAGCCTGCACTCACAGGTGTTCGGGAAAAACAATTGCGAATTGCCCGGCAAACTGTACTCTTTGATATATTATCCGCAACGCCTGCAGTATTATAGTATACCAAAAAAAATGCCGCCTGTAAAATATCTCAAGGCGATGCACATTGTCTGTGTGGCTGCGAGAGCCCGACTTCGCCTAGTTGGACTTCTATTATTCGGAGCTAATAAACGTTTAAGATATGATATTCCATCTCAGCCGAAGCAGTATCTTTCGAAAAGAATATCATCCGGCAACATTAATAAAGGATCTTGCCGATCGCGCAGAAAACCCTCTCAATTTGAAATTCCCTTCTTATTATTAG